GCTAAGGAGTTGGAGGTTGCTGTGAGCTGTGATGCCATAGCACTCTACCCAGGGGACAGCTTGAGGCTCTGTCTCAAAAAAAAAAAGAAGAAGACAGAGGGACAGCCCCTACCTGACACCGTCCTTCCACTGTTCCCAGTTCTCCCACACACCCTGAAGCACTTCTTGTTTTATGTTTTCTAGTTCTTCTAAAGGAATATATTCTTAACCCCCTTCACAGGTGAATAAATGGAGGCGTGGTGGCTACCTGCATAAGCAGCCTTTCCTGGTTAATTGGCCTTTGGGGGCCTCAATTTCCTCATGTGTAAAATGGAGATTCTGAAAGGGAATAAGATAATGGTTAGAAGCACTTGGCCCAGCACCTGGACCCAGGAGGTGCTCAGCAAATATTTGGTCCTTCTTTCTTCCCTCTGTTCTCAAAGCCCTCCTCAACTTCTCAACTCACTGAAGTCTCTCAGAATTGCACACCTGAGCTGCATGGTGTCCTGGTTGTCTACAACCACTCACCATGTTGTCCATGCCAAGCTCTGTGCTGGACTCTGGGCATTCCAGGCAGAGCATCAGTATCATCCAAGCCCACTTCTCTTCCTCCCCTCCAACCCTTCAACTCAAGGGGCGTCACTGCCCTTTGGGGAACATTTTGGGACTAGAAGGCATCAAGGATTACCTCAGTGACTCAGGGGTGCTCCTGGCATGGAACAGGGACCCAGGGTTGTGAGGTTCTGCAAGGCCAGGCAGATGAACAATCACCCCATTGCATGGCTTCCAGCACTTGGCCTTACAAGCAAGAGATGCTCAAGTTGTAGACCCTAACTTCACCTGACCTGAAACCCCAAATCTCTTTTACATAGTTCAATACTGAAACTGGAATTCAGGAGAATCCCCCCCCCCATCCAGTGGGTGCAGCCACCCACTATCATCGTCCCTCGTGCCCTTCTCCCCACAAGAACATGTATGGACTCTGTTACTTTCACTAAAATGTGGGCTCCCTGCATTGAGCACCTCATCTACCTTGCTCTGTGTTGTGTGCCTGGCATAGTTTAGATGCTCAGTAAGTGTACATTAAGGAAACAAGGGCACAGCCAGGTCATAGGGTATAGAAAACCCTGGCTGCTCCTCCACCTGCTGTCTTCTCCAGAAGAGGCAAGCCGTGGGCACAGGAGGACCCCCTGCACGTGTATGAGGCCTCTTCTCCCAGAACACTCTCTCAGTTTCACTGTTCCTGTCAGTGAGGGTCCCCTCCTGGAGAAGCCCCTGGTGCCTGAGCCCAGGCTTCTCCCCCTGCTTCTAGGGCTTCCCGAGCTCTGTGGTAGGATCAGGTCTGACTGTGCGGCCTGTAAAAAGGATGAGCTCCCTGCACCCCAGCCTATGCTGTCCTCTCGACCTCCATCCTCCCACCAGCCCATCTCCTGGCCTGGTTTCTCAGTGACACGCATCCCCAGGAGGTGACAGGTCTGGGGCCTGATAAATGGCTCCATCTCCACTCTTGTGAAATGACATGGGAAGAACCTCCAGGTGAGGGGAGCTGATGACTCCTCCTGGGCTGGTGGGGGCCCCTGGAGGGCCCCTCCTATAGTTCTGGCTGTACCTGCTCAGAAGAGCTGCTGAATCTACAGGCTCTAGGGCAGAGAGGCGGACCCAGGAGCCTGCCTGTGTGTCCTCCCACAAGGACACAGACACACAGTCCACCTGAGCCACACACACAAACGAGACCCCTCCTCTCAATTCAAACAGGTAGGCAAGAAACACACATGCTCACACAGCAAGATAAACACACATACACAGACATGACAAGTCACAGACCCCAGGCAGACCCAATGTGCATGGGGAGAGACACACTCGCATCACACAATAGTCCCCCCACACAGACCTTCACCCCTCGCAAACCCTCCACACTGATGACACACACCATACAAGCACATGCACACCCAGCAGACAAGACATGTGCATGCACGCACACAGATGAGACATAGCCCACCCGACTGCCTGGAGATGTACACAAAGGCACACCCACCACCACACAAACACACACATGCACAGACACACACAGAGAGAGAAGCATCTAATACAGTGGTTCTCAACCTGCCTAATGCTGTGAACCTTTAATACAGTTCAAAGGCGTCTCGACCCACAGGTTGAGAACTGCTCATCTAATATGTGACACGCACACACACACATGCCCCACACAGAGGAGATGTAAGGGATATCACACAGGTGTCTACCCCACATAGGTTGCAAAAATGCACACATCACAAATAACCCCCCACCCCAGACTCGCTGCCTACTTGTCCTGGCAATGGAGGCCTGTTCACTGTGGCAAATGTATCCTGCTTTGTAAGCCTTCTCACTCTGTAACCTATCTTTCTCTTCCTCAATGAACTTTGTTTCATGCTTGCCTTAAAAATAAAATATAATAAAATAAATACCCCCCAACATGCATGCACATAGGAGCACGCACACTTCATACAGAGTAGCGGGCCCCTGAAGGCCCTGGGACACCACCCTCCACCCAAAGTGCTGCTTAACACACAGACACACCCCATAGAAACATACACACACAGTCCCCGCGTGAACTCACGCAGGTGGAAACATGTGCATTCTCACTCCCCACCACACACCTGCTTGGTCTACAAAGGACCTCCCCCTTTCTCTGACACCCTCTCCCCTCAGAAGGTAGCCTCCACCCCTGCCAGGAACAGAATTCCTTCCCCCAGGCTTGGCGCCTCTGGCTCAAGTGGCTAAGGTGCCAGCCACATACACCTGAGCTGGCAGGTTCGAATCCAGCCCGGGCCTGCCAAACAATGACGGCTGCAATCAAAAAACAGCCGGACATTGTGGCCAGCACCTATAGTCCCAGTGGGAGGCAGAGGCAGGAGAATCACTTGAGCCCAGGAGTTGGAGGTTGCTGTGAGCCGTGATGCCACAGCACTCTACCCAGGGAGACAGCTTGAGGCTCTGTCTAAAAAAAAAGAATTCCTCTCCCTCCCATCCTCTCCTCACCCCTAGCCTGGAAGAAGAGAAGCTAGTCCAGGTACTTAGCAGAGCCAGTAATTCAGCTCAGAGGTCAGGGGACTCACCAGGATGGCTCAGCAGGTCCTGCCCCAGGCTCTGTGGTCCCTGTGCAGATGGGGCAGAGAGGACCCCACTGCCGAGTGGGAGGAGGAGTGAGGGAAGGGAGACTCTGGGGGCAGCTCCTGTGTCTGGCCTCTCCCCTGGTGCCTCCATAGCCCAGCCTGCATACACGCTGTGAGGTAATTATAGTTACAATGCATTCCTCCAACTCCTCTGACTTATCCTCTCAAAGCCTTCTTGCCCAAACTAAGTCCTTCTGGGAAGATAGAATGAGCAGGGAGGGGAAAAAGTCCCATCTCCTTTTCCTTGACTGCAGAGTCTTCCTGATTGCACACAAAGGAGGAGAAGGACCAAGTAACCTACCCAGACCCCCAGGTGCCAAAACTCTAGGCTCACTCCATTTCCGGGGTGGCATGCCGCTACCCTGGCCTCTGTGACGATGCTGATGGAATTACTGCCATGGTTACTGTTGTTATTCATTGCTATTCACTGCAAGCTTTCTATGTGCCCTACATGGAGCTATGTGCTCAACATAGATTTTTTTCATTCATCATTTATTTCACAATCTTTATTGAGCATTTACTATGTGCCAGGCACTGCGCTAGTTACTAAGAAGACAGCTGTGAACAAATTTGAGATCCCAATCCTCAAAAAGCTGACATTTTAGGAAAAACTAATCATTTAAACTAATACAGGAGGCTCGGCGCCTGTGGCTTGTCACAGACCCCAGGCAGACCCAATGTGCATGGGG